TTTTTGAGTTACTAGGAAAGGTGAAGCTTGGGTGTGGCGCTCTGTGCTTGGAAGGTGTCTTGTGACTGCTAAAGGAGGGCGGTTCAGGTTTGGAAGAGTTTGGGTTACTCTGGTAGGTGCGGCAGTGTCTTCTCTCTCCCGCCCATCTATTGGACGGAGCAAAACCCTAGTTTTTCAAGCACCCAAGTTCTGGTTTGACTTCAAGTAAGTTTACATAGTCAAAATTTTCTGTTCTTTGATTTTCGTTTGATTAATGGAGACATACGGAAGTGAGTTCAAGCAGGTGCCAGCTTCTGGACCTACTCCAGTAGATTTCGTTTTGACGGGTGTTACCACAATTAAGCTAGATGGGACGAACTATCTTGCTTGGGCCTAGTCTCTTTACAGATACAGAAACAGTCTGGCCCTGATAAGGAATGTGGGTTCCATCTGGTTTCAAGGTTCGGTTCTGATTAGTTAGCCTTTCCGTCACCTCTGTTAAACAGAGATCACAACTCTTACCCACCTGTTTATGCCTCCCCACTATGTCCCTGTATTGCTTTTGAGAAGTCTCGAGGGATCCCTTACAAAAAACATGTTCGGTAAGGAGATTTTGAGACGTAGCTTCTGAGTGTGAGTTAGAGTTTCCACCCCCAGAGTTCGAAATGTGTTCAGCGACAACAATGTACGGCTCTTCCTCAGCACAGTGAGACGTTATCGAACCTGGTCTTTGTGAGAACAATGTATCCAGATCAAAATTTGCAACAGCTTCTTCCTCTGAAAACTTCTCACCCAAAACACTGCCTAAACTGGACTGGCTATCCGAAACTTCTTCCACGTCTTCTTCCTCCATTTCGCAGTCCACCCAGCCCTCGTCAAAACCATCCTTTTCCTCGAGATGAGCTCGATCGTACCTGGGGTTTGGTCTGTCTTGTGATGTTCGTCCCTCCCTGGGTGTTTCAGGAACTGCGCAAGGCACCCACCGGAGAGTACTTTAGCTTCGCTCTGACTGCCTGAGATCACCTACAGCGCCCCCGTCCAAAATTTTCGAAGAAGAAGATAGACGATGTCTATCGTCTATAGTCCCCAACCGTCTCCCCTGACCCACGTGCTCACTTAAACAATCACGTGGGTAGGGATTCCCCCTTCTGGCTGAGCCGATCGGTCCACCCACCGGTTCAGATGACTCGACCTGCAAAAATCTCCCTTTTTAACCACGTCAGCGAAGGTGTCTTGTCCCTTCGAATTACCAGTTAATTCAAAAAATTTTGAATTTATTTCTTTTAATAGATTTCGTAGCTTTTGGTTCTCTCCCACCGACTTTTCAGCTTCCTTTCTAAGCTGCCCCCTATGTTCAGTCTTACCCTCCAGCTGTAGGCCCCTAGTAGTCCAACCCTCCACGTCAGCATCGTCTTCTACCTTGGGTCTTCGTCCCCACAGCTCTGCCTCCACCTCTGAAACCAACCATACTTTAAACCATGTACCTTCAGCAAGAACCTCTATTGTTCTTGGGAGCGATTCCGGTCTCACCCCGACCATCCTAACCACAGCGGCACGAAAATCTTGTAGATGGACTTCCTCCATTTCTCCGCCCAGCAGCTTCACAATATTTCCCAGATTTGCTTCACTCCAGAGATGGAAGGGAAGACCTACCAATTTGAGCAGGAAACTTCCACAGACATATTCCATCTCATTACACAATGGTTTCCAGTTTTGAATCTGAATCAAACCTTCTTCACATTCAAAAGATGTAAATCCCCTGATTTTTTCATCGTCAATTCTCAACACTGCCTTACTGTCTGAGAATGGTTTCAGAGCAACCTCGGACTCCAGCTTCAAGTTGTGCACCACTGAGTTTAGGACGTTCCCCCAATCTTGTAATGCTTTGCTCGCTGAGATCACCATTCTCCGCTCCCAGTCTTCTTTCTCACCCTCAAACCACAGCTTCACCCCTGTATTAGAGCTCGAAATAAGTTCACCRTCACTGCATGAGCTCTTCTTCAACGGCTTCTCCAGGCTTTTAATGGGTGCTGAACTTTGTTCTTTCTCCAACACCACATCGACAGAGACAAGAAACTGCTGCAGCAAAGGCCATCCAACCTTGTTTCTTCTTCCCTTCCGGTAAGCAAAGCAATTGTTTTCTTGCGTCGAAATATTCTGTGACCATGATGAACTAGCCTTTACCATTGCATCTCAGTTCCACTTCGTACCTCTTCTTTCCCAGTTCGAAGACATTTTTCCATCCTATTGTCCTAATCGATTGTATAACACCATCAATAAAACCCTTTAACCATGCCACTCCTTCCTCAAACAATAGTATCGTGGCCCTCCTATCCTCCCTAATTTTTAACAGGTTCTTTCCGCTGGCCCTTCCGCTCTCAAATAAAAATTTCTTCTCTTCAATAATCAGTTCCATCTACTCACCAAATGAAAAACTTCTCCACTTCAGCTTCCCATGAGTTCAGTCTTTAGTTCCAATCCAATAGACTTTTCTTCCAGAAAAACCTCATGGACCAACAATTTGACAAGACCAGAGAGGAGAATTGGCTCTTATTCTTTTGATCAATATCTAGTTTGTACATTATTCTTATCGTGCTCCCTTTGCACTTATTAATAACCTTGCAAAGGTTAGCTGGCTTGGACTGCATAAACTCATTTTATTTCTACCAAGTTTCAAGAGTTCTATTTTCTGTCTGATCAATAACGTAAGTTTACGAATAAACTTATAAAAAAACATAAATTTATGAATAAAGAGAGGAAGTACCTGAAACGTAGGAGCTAAGCCAGGGCTCAAGAAAAAACGGCCTTTTGAGACTGACTGGATACCTTCAATCTGTTCAAGTTCTTTAATAAGTGATTCCACATCAGCCCACTGCCCAATTTCAATTTAAAACTGATTTAGCCATAGAAAAAGAAAGCAGACTTGTAACAGAAAAGAAAGATATATTTAGCACACTAACACTAACTTCCTAATTGCTTAAGAAATCACAAACTGGTATCTTCTTTCTTCAGTGTTTCTCTTTGGCAAGCTCCAACGGGATTCATCTACCAGAGGAAAATTCCACCTCTACACCTTAGTGCAGGCCTATTGAAAGCTCAGCTTCTGGCTAATTAAGGTCCATAAGTAGGTTTATATTGAAGGCCAAACAGACACCCAATTAAATTAACAGGCCCATGAACATGAGCATACTATGATTCCTACATTCTATGGTGTGTTGGGCAATGGATGTTGTCTTGTATAAACAACACTACAACAGGCACTAAAACTACATTCCACACACAAACATACATATAATGATAGAGGAGGGTTCTTGTAGCACATGGTCAAAGGATAATGGGCTAGAACTTACAAAATGATGGTAAAATTGCAAGCATGTGAAACCTGAGATGTCACCACAACATCCACATGTAAAATAGCAGGCTTGTCAAAACCCCTCCTAAGGATAGTTCATCCATAGATAGTCCCATCATGAAATCAGATTTTAAAAGTGTTCAACCAGTAGATTCCATCTTTTTTTATCAATAAGCAGCAACTTTATTAATTATTGTATTGAGAATGGGCAGAATGGACCTTAGTGTTTTTTATTTCTTTTAAGTAGTTTTTAAGGTTATGTTTGTTGGTTATGGGCCTTAGTTATGGACTTTTTTCTGTTTTCTTTAATTATTTCTTTAGTGCTGGCCGCCCCATTAAGGGCATCCAAGTAATTGTATTTAATTTTAGAAATAAGTTAATAAAAGAGATCAAGGGGGCTAGAGAGATTCAAAATCTTCTTTTCTCTTCTTCCACAACCTACTGCTGAAACCACTTTCTTCTCCTTTCTCTTCCTTTCTTTCTTTCTTTTCCTATATTTTCTGAATTACTACAGGTGTATTTCTCAATTCCAAGGCTCAAAAGAGATAATTATAATGTAGATATACACTCACTCTTTGAAGAGATAAGGACTCTTATCTCTCATATTTTTTTACTTTCTAACAACTGTGCCCAAAACCCTTGATTTTTTTCCCACCCCTTGCTTGGCTAAAGCCTCAGCCATGCTATTTACTTCCCTTTTTACCCATTGAAGTCTCACATTCATTCCTCTAGTCAGCCATTTAATCCTCTTAGTTCAATTCGATAAGACCATAGAGCAGCCTCAACATCTTGCAACCACCCAATCACCAACATTTTCATTTTGAAGGATAAAGAGAAATTCACTGAAAGAAAAAAGAGAATACAAAAGGAACCAGGCAACCAACTCCTAATCCTCCCCTTTGAACACTTCCTCTTGTCCATTAATATCCTCATCCCACCTCTCTCTTCTCTCCCCAATTTCCATTCTCTTCAAACTTTCTTCCCTCCTCTCAAATTCCTCAAAGGCCTTCCTAGAAAACTCCTCCCCTCCCCAAAAGAACAAGCCAAGGCTTTTGCAATTCTCAACTTCTTTCTCCACAATGTTCTCAAATAGGAAGCTTTCCAGACCTCTCCACCTAAGAGTCTTGACTACTATCAGGACTTCTCGCTTCAGAACTGGAGTCGTTTCCATTTCCTTTTTCAAGCTGAAGGTTACCCATCTGAGATTCCGAACTATTATTAACCTGAAAGTCCACACCTCTAGTATCTTCGAATGTGGGCACTATTGTCTTTGCCCCTCTCCTCTTGTAAACCTTTTTGTAATTTTTTTGTAGGTCCTGCCCCCGCCAAACCAAGTTTTAGCAAGAAAAGATCTTGGTAACATGAACAATGTGTGCACTCCTTGCTCCACGAGATTTCTTGGGAGCCACCTCTTCTGTTGTGACCACATCATTCTCTACCACCCTTCTCCGACCTAAGTCCAGCCTACCTTTTTTTCTTGAAGAGTAAATGAAAATTCATTAATTCAAAAAGTGAAATACAAACTAATAGGTGACAAGATGTCACCTCTATACACACATCAAAACAAACTCTTGTTAAGAACAGAAACTAATCCAAATTACATCAACTGAATTTCAAGAACATTCCAAAAATTCTCCCCCATTTCTGATCTGCTGATTTGATCAAAATCTGGTAGCACCCAAACCCAATCTGCTACTAGCTTCCCAACCAGAGAGACTAGTGTTTCAGTGTTCTTTTATTTGTAATCAAAGAGTCTTCTGTTTCTTTCATTCCATAGAACGCAGCACACTGCAAAGGGAATGAAGCTCCAAACTATCCTTGCTTTCCTGCTCCCTCTAAAATTTGGCCATGAAGAAAAGATTTCTGCTGTAAAAAGAAGTAAAATCTCCAAATAACCTTTGCTGCCTTGCAAGTATAGAACAGGTGTAAAACAGTTTCTTCACCCGCCCAGCATAAAACACAAACATTTGCCAAGTAGATCCCTTTAATTTTTAGATGGTCAGCAGTTAGTATGCTGTCCAAAGCAACTAACCAAGCGAAAGTTTCCACTCTAGGTGAAACAGGGTTCCCCCAAATCCCCTCCACTTGATCTGAGTTCAGCTGATCCTTCACCAACACCATGTAGAACGACTTCACAGAAAACACCCCATTCTTGCACTCTTTCCACCACATCCCGTCCCTCAAAAAGGGTAAGACTTCAATTTTCTGAAGCTTTTCCAGCAGATGAATACATTCTTCTACCTCCTGGTCCTGCAAAAAGCATTGGTCAGCCTTGACTTTGATGCTCAGTCAGCTTGTAGAGCTTCGGACATACCTCACAGAGCTTCCCTGCTTCACACCATTCGTCTTCCCAAAATTCTTGTCCTTTACCCACCACCCACCTTAAAGCTAACTTAAGTTTTAAACACTTGATTGAATTGCACTGTTCCTTTCCATACACTCACCCCATAAGAATTTGAGACCTCCCTTGATTCCCAACCAAACCTCACCAACCTATATTTCTCAGCCACTACCCTCCTCCAAAGAGACTCTCTCTCCCTTCCCAGCCCAAACCTCCACAGCCACTTACCCAAAAGGGCCTTGTTGAAAACTCTGACCCTTCTAATTCCCAATTGCTCCCCCTGCACCTTCCTACAAAAAATCTCTCTGTAACTTCTCAATTTTTTTCTGCCATTTTTGCTGGAATCTTGAGTAGAGAGGTAAAAAGTCAGTAAGCTAGAGAGAGCACTCCTGACTATTGTGATTCTACCCCCCAGAGACAGGCACTTTGCGTTCCAACTCTCAAGCCTTTTCTCCACTCTTTCAACTACTAGCCTATTTCTGCTGCAAAAGCTTTAGACCCTATTGGAAGACCCAGATACTGAAATGGCAACTCCCCTATCTGACATTCAAACACCGTAGCAAACTGCTCCAGCTCCTCCCTCCCTATTTCCCTCGCCCCAATCAACGAGCTTTTAGCTAGGTTCACTTTCAAACCTGTGAGCATCTCAAAGTTAGCCAATATAGCCCTAAGGTTCAGCACCTGGTCAACTGAGGCATCCAAGAAAATGAGAGTGTCATCAGCATATTGAAGATGGGAAATGCAAGGACCCTCTTCACCCACTTTGAAGCCTTCAACCCAACCCAGCTGAGAAGCCTTAACCATAAGCAAATTCAGCACTTCCATCACTAGCACCAACAACAATGGGGAGATTGGATCCCCTTCTTGAAGCCCTTTAGAAGCATGAAAAAACTACGAAGAGACACCATTGAGAAGTAAAGAAAAGAGACAGGCAATATACATGCAAACATCCCACAACTTCTCCATTTCTCTCCAAACCCCATTAGCCTTTGCATCTCTTCCAAGAATCCCCACTCCACATGATTGTATACTTTCTCAATGTCAATTTTATATACCAGCCCCAGTCTCCTGCTCCTTATCCTAGAGTCAATGCACTCACTGGCCACCAACACTCCATCCAAAATTTGCCTCCCTTCCACAAATGCCATTTAGGTTTCTCCCACCACCTCATGAATCACATCCCTCAACCTCCTGGACAGCACCTTAGCTAATAGCTTTTAGGGGCAACTGATCAAGCTTATTGGTTCCCTTGTCAAGTTCTTTTGAATTTGTGCAATGCAGGGTGGCATTGATTCCCTTGTCAAGTTCTTTTGCATCACAGAATTCCTTGATCATCTGAACAAAGTCATCTTCCAAGAAACTCCAACCAGCCTTGACAAAATTGAAACTAAACCCATCCGGCCCTGGGGCTTTATCCCCATTTAACTTTTTTCAGAGCTTCACTAACTTCTTCAATCTCTATCTCTCTTTCTAGCCAATTTGCAACAAAATTGCTCAGCTTTTTAGGCTCCAAGCCCCCTAGAGCCACCCAACTCCATCCCCTCTCCCTATATAGCCCCTTGAAGAATTCCATAACCTTACTCTGAATCCCTTCACAAGTATCCTCCATGTCCTCCCCTACCTCAATTCTTGTGATAAGGTTTCTCCTCCTTATGGCACTTGCAAAAGCATGAAAATATGCTGAATTCTTATCCTCCTCTCTTAGAATAGCCCTAGACTTCTGCCTCCATCTTATTTCTTCCTTCAAAATGATTCTTTCCAATTCTCCCCTCAATCCTTCCCTTTCCAATTGTGCCTCCCTCATTAAAGCCCCTTCTTCTAACCTGTCCAGCCTCGCCATACCTTCCAGAACCTCCTCCTTTCTACTCTCCTCTCTACCCCAAACCTTCAGCCTTCTACTTCTTAGTTTTTCTTTCAAAAGTTGCAGTTTCCTCACCAACTTATGACTGGCTAAACCTTCCATTTGCCACCCCTACCTTTCCAATCACCACTTGCACAAAAGGACTATGAATGGCATCTGAGCAGTCTACTTGGGGAGATTCGCAGACAGTTGCACCATTAACCTCATTTGCTCCACTATCACAACTCCTAAAACTTTTCCAAATTCAACATTGCCAACCCCTACCGCATCTTCCTTCCTCCTCTCCCCCGACCTATCCTTCACTCCGTTACAAATCCC